TCTTCCCTCGTAAGATCGCATTGTTTACGGGACATGGTCGTGTCACCTCGTCTCAGAATGAGATCGCATAAATAACTCCTATGGAACCTCTTCCTCGGTGCTAGTCATCCAAGAGGCTCATTGTGAGAGCCACATCGAATTTCTTTCTCCTTCTCCTTTCGTCCCAACCACCTTCCTTGCCATCCGTCCCCACCAAGTATATAGCCAGGAATCCTGCCTGTATGTGTCACTGTTGTGACGCAGCAACATGGAGACGCGAGCAGCAAGACGAAGTAGCAACGAGAGAGGTGATGCGAGCAGTCAGTTTCATTGTGCGATCAAAAAATGACCATACGGATTTTTCTCTCGGTTCCATTGAGGCTGGAGAGGCTCGAGAGACTCGAATCAGTCTCTCTCTTCTCTCTGCACCCGTTCTTCCCCCATTGGGATTCATTCATAATACCATTCTCGAGTGGAGGCTCGAAGTGGACCGGATGGTATTTCGTTTTCTGACAGCCAGCACCAGCGGCTGATCCTCTCTGTTCGAATTACGAGTATGGCCGATGCTGCACGACCGAGTGCCCGGGAGCTGGGGTATTTTGCTTATAGTATAAATAATCGGCCTGATCGTGAATCGTCGAACCTCGTTCGCTTTTTGGCAGTGAAAAGTTGCACTCATTCACCATTCACTCTTATACGTTTAATGACAACTCATTACGTGTCAATGAATCATATGAATTGGTTAAATTTAATATATTTTATCTAGCTTCGAGAAATTTGTGACATAAATTATTTTGCAATTTTTTACTTTTTTTAGAAACTTAAATAGAGTATAATAAATATTTTTACTTATTGTATAGTATTATATGTTGCATGTTTTATCTAGTTGTTAAAAATTGTTCAGGAATTGATTTCATTTTACAATTTTTCTGTTCGATGACGCCATCGCAATATGGTGCCGTGCTGTCTACGAATACCATGGAATTCCAATGGAATTTATCTCTCCTTGTCAAATATTTGCCTTTGCGCGAAGCCACTTGAATCACTTTGACTCGACTCGTTGCAACTCACGATTCAAGAATACATGACTGCATGGTTACTCTCTTAATATTGATAAAGAAAGCGATATATGTATTTAATATCGTTTCCATTATTTTTTAAAATAGTAACACCTATCTACACCAGAGAAGTTGTAAGAAAAAAAATGAACATATATTTTCGTATAAATACTATTTAACATAATCTTAAATAAAACACCAATCACCGAAACATTTGATCTTAAAACTAGTATCGAAAATAGAAATGCAAAAATGTATAAAACGATTGCTTTTAAAATAATTTCTTTGTAATCTGATAAATGCATTAGTATTTTTATTTTCACGTTCCTTCGGATAACTAGACGGCTTGGCACCTAGCATGCTGCCATCATCGAGGCACGAACAACTATTATTCTTCCGGTCGATTCGTCGATCGACGGAACGTTTTATCGTTGATTTATCTGTTGTTTGCTTTCTCAGTACGCGTGGAAACACAGCAAACGACCGATTTATGAACGGCCGATAGAGGAACGGGATTTGAGGAGCCAATCTGACGGCAACTTCTGGATGATGAAAAAACGGGATATGTGGCTTTGCATGTTGCATCATGTGCGACTACAGGTCGCTTTATTTTCAGAAATTTGATGATCTAATCAATGACAAGATGCAATGCTATTTCGATCAATCGTTCATCGTGAATGTGATGCAACGAAGATGAAAAGTATGCAAATATACATCGTCAAATTCTAATCTCAAAGCTGGAAACAAAGGTAACCTTACTTTTTTAATCTAATATCAAATTCTATTCAAATAAATGTATAATTAAAATTTGGAAATCTTTGAATATCAATGATATTTTCTTTACGCGTTATGCATACGTGAGAAGTCGCCAAATACGTGATCCATGAATTCTGTTTCGTTTGTGGAAGTTCATAGGGAAAAGCGGGATAGGAAGAAAGGGAGTGAAAGGAAGCGAGAAGGAGGATGCTCGTTCCATGTTGATTTTGGCTCGAAGCCTCGCTTAGGTGGCAGTACGGATGAAAATATCGGCCGCTAAAATAATTCGACGACAAAGAGCGGCAAACCAACGACAGGTCGACAGGCGAGAATCTCCTATTGGCGGGGTTTTTAAATCGTCGCGTCTTGAAAATAGTTCGTCGAAATTTTCGAATCGTGCCGGAGCCTTGTATCCGATGAAAGGTCTCTGTTTTATGGGTCGCAGTTCAATTGAAATGTACATGTTTGAGCAAATGAGTAACAGAGTACGATACAAAATGAAAGTTTAACGGTGCGTGCACTTGGATGTATGATATCTCAATATATTTTCGTCGAAATGTCTAGAATTAAATTGTGGATACGGGATACGGTTATTCAGAGAACTTGCAATCATGAAATTACTTATATATGAATTATTATACGAACTTCGAAGAATGAATATTCGATATATATTAAATTTCAAATTTTTTATTTCAGATATACAATATAAATAAAAATAGTTATACGGTATTTATTGATTATTCAGTTATCAATGATATATATATATAAAATTTATAATATTAAATAATTTACAAGGAGTGTCAAAATACATATAAAATATAATTTCTATTACACTTTTTGCAGATAATGCTTCAATGCTACGATATACTTGATAATCTTCTCTAAAGCGTGTGCGAAATTTCGAAGATTAGAAAGGGGACATGAAAGCTAAGAAGAAAGAAAAGAAGAGCGAAAAGACACCAATTTTTTCCGCAAGACGTGGGAAAGCTCGTGGACAAGGGACGGCGAAGATGGCCACGACCATTCACCTGTCAACTATTTTCTTCCTCTTCTTCGTGTTCTTCGTGTGCCAGTATTGCTCCGAGGTGGCACAACTCGGCATCGACTGCTCACGTAGTCGCGCCTACCAAAACATCCTCGACGATCCTCCATTTGACTCGCCATTCATCGCTGGTGAAACAGCTTAATATAATCCTATTTAAGGAGCTCCCATTGTGACTGTACCCGCTAGTGGTACGTGACCGAAATTATTTACTCGTTTATTAGATGTCGCTGACTGATCGGCAGCCTCCCGTCGGATTTGACGTTCGGCTCTCCCATTGTACCACTTCATTGTTGCTCCGAAAGATATTCGGTTAACTGAAATGCTTATACAATAATAATTGCAGTAATTGCAATGTCTTTTGTTTACTTTTTTTTCTATTTTATTATTTTACACTGATTTTATACTGGTATAGAAAGAAAAGTCATTCGGATAAAATTGTTTGATTTATGATATCCATAAAGGATTTTTCATAGTCATTTTGTGAAGATTAACCAAGAATTAATTTTATCCCCCGTCTCGTAGAAGGTACGTTCTGGGAAACTCGACGATAGTAGAAAATTTATACGAGATTCCAGGAGTTTCAAACTCACGCGAGGATGAACACCGTCCGCTCTGTCGATCCGGAAACCACAGGATCACGAATCTCGTGGAAATCTTGTTTTCTATGATGACATCTCATATACACGCGCGTGCACTTAAGTAATCACTATGTCTTATCTATTATTAAACCATTGTCAACTAAAAATCTTTAAAGTAAAGTAAGTAAAAAAAAAAAGTTATTAATTTAATTGAAATTTAATCTATTTTGAACTATGAGAAGGGAATAATTATAAGTGAAAAAGAATGTTAAATTATTTTTGATGATGAATTAATTTTATATTTTATCGTATCTCGTAGGAAATAAGGGAGCAAGCTCTTCGTGATGTCGTCAACCGTTATTGCGGTTACTTAAATGGAGTCATATCATTGCCAGAGAACGATTAGATGCAATCGAATTCCAGGATCGGTCTGTCGGCGAAGTTTACACTCGAGTCTCGGCATAGCTTTGCTATGTTAGGTGGGCCAACATAAGCAAACCTCTTGAGACGAGGCACATGTGGCCAACAATGGGCCAAATAGCATAGAAGGTTACATGTGTAACATAAGATAAGGACCGGAACCGGATGCCGAAGAATCGAAGACAAAGGTTCACCCGTAGAAGAAACGAGCCTTAGAAAAGGTCCTTGGAAAAATCTTAATATGACCGATAAATTTCTTCCTATATTTTTCCAATAATAATATCAATTATATCTTTTTCTCATTTATAATTTTAATTCTGTCATTTCGTTAATTATTTATTATTTATGTTTAAAAATAGACCATCGTATATCAATCCTTTAATCATCGAGCCGAAGTAAATTCCATAATTTCATACGGCTTCATACGGTTTCTCGGTCGGATAATCAAATCCCTGTTCGAATATCAGATTACACGATGTTCATTGTTGTGAGATATATGCGTGACTGAAATAGTATTCATGCACAGATATTCTAAGCTACAACGCATGATATTGCAACATATAGAAAGTATATTCGTTTGTATATGCGTATTGTTCGTTATTATTATTATAAAAATGGTACAAAGAACTTTTCATATATTTATATACCGATTTACCAATTTACATATTTAAATCTAATCAATTTTTATACTTTCAGGTACGTTAATTCGGTAAAAGTACTCGGAAACTATATGCAGCATGAGGCTCTCGGACTTTCGCAGGATTAACCGCAGATTTTCCTAGCCTCGAGAACGCCAGGAAGTGCTCGTGTGCCGGATTGGTCCACGGGATTAAAGGCAGAAGAGCGACAAGGCAGGTCCTGGAAGCAAGGTGACTCGCGAGGACCACCCGTCGGGGCCGTTTAAAGGATTATCCTTGGAGGTGCCATCATGTCAAAACACCGGACCTCTGAGAATAGCTTGACTTCGACACTTGCCGCCATAGAATTATCGGAAAGGAGAGGAATCGGCAATTGTTTGGTTGTCATCGGAAAAAAACCTTCAAAGAAGAGAAGCATTTAAGATTAAAATAGTGATAAATTAAAAGAAATAAAAATAAATATTTAATAATTTATTAAATTATAAATTACAAACGTTTGATATTAAATTTTTTTTAGATATTCTACTGTACGCGATAACATTTTATTGTACATTTTGCTACAATTTAATCGTCGCAATTGCAGTTTCAATCATTTCGACATACGCTTCCTTCGACTACATTACATTGCTGCTATCTATATTTATAATATATACAATAATCATCTGAACGTATGTCCACGTGTGTGCGGACATGTCTTGTCAAATAACGGTGGCACTACGAGTATATATTGTCCAGTCACAGTCTGCCACCGAGACAAGGAGAAACTCCATACTGACAGTCAGCTCCATTAAGTTCCATTATGGGTTCGCGGTGCGAAAGGTACACAGTATTCGCGTTGCGCCTTCACTGAACTTTTCGTTGGTCGCGCAGCAACTCGTTAAACTCGTTAAACCAAAAGACAGGACTGGCATCGCTCAAAGAATGACAACGAGTTCTACTTTTATGATTAAGATCGATGGGATGCGTTCGAAATACTGAACAAACCACAAGTCCCGTTTATTTAATTGCAGATAGACTTCCTTGAAATACAAATGCTTTCAATATATATTATACACATTTTATACGAAGAACAGATTTATATAGGTACATATTCTTGTGTAGAATTAATCACTTGAATATTAATTTATAAAATTTATTTTATTTAATTTATTATCAAAGAAGAAAATTAGATGTACCTTAATATAATTTATCAAGGTATATATTTATTTTTTGTTTAAGGTATTTTTAAATCCCGAAAGGAAAAACATTTTGATTTAAAATGGATAAAGATTCTGACATTAATACTTTGTTTAGTTATTCACTATTTAATGTTGTTTGTTTATCTGATCACTACATTGTTTTGTATGCTATTACAAACGTAACGACACGAAGGTCACAAAAAGGATATCGTGTGACAAATCGTGACATCGTCTTCGGATATTTCACACGTGCAAGCTGGACTAGAAGATCCCAATCCTGGAAGGAAACTGGTATCGTATTAATTGTCGCTGCCTTTCGTCAGGCCGTTAATTAAGTGGTCACCGCCTACCCTCAGGTTTGGACGTCGTGTCGAAACCGAGACGAATTTTCTAGTCACTGATGCCACGTTGTCTTGCGGCAAATTTTCCAGAAAAACGTTTACATTTTTTATAAGAGTATAAGTTTGTTTCTTGTCTAGATTCTACAGCACATTTTGCATTACTTTTCCATTTTAAATTTCTTTCTATTGATCAATTTCGATCATCATTATGAGAATTGAATATACTATCAGTAGTAATCAAAAATCTTGTATATCAAGTATATAAAACATATATATATATATATATATATATATATATATATATATATATAATATATATATATATAT